GTTGGTGTCCCAATCTCTCCTTGATTCTTACCACGAACACCACAGCTCCCCTAGAAAGTGCTTTGTTGGCCTCTGCAGCCTCCTCTGTGGCCTGCAGATGGAGCAATCAGGGAGTTCTGGAGAGTGACTGCCTCCAGAAGACAATGTCAGCCAACGGGAAATAAATAAGTGGGCACAGTTCTCCAGCTTCTTTAGCCAGAATACAGATCATCTAGATAATTCTGAAGCATGCTCTATTATTCTCATGACTTCCTCTAAGAGCTCTAGCTCACAGAAGAACCTTACTTCCTAACTCCTTTGCATCTTCATCTCAATTCTCCAGTCTCCTGTTAGGATGATTTTGACTCATGAATACACTACTTGCACTTGAATCCTCACTTGGGGTTGCTTCTGGGGGAACCTAAACTACAGCAAACCATATCATAAAGTTTAGGGCAGGCTCAAAGAGGCTTTTACTACAGTGTCCCAACTGAGAGTGTCTGAGGGCTGAAAAGAAATCATCTTTCCAACCCCATAGCTGGTATAGCATTCCAAGTTAGAATTGGTTCACAACTATGTTCTTTCATCTGTGCCAGGGAATGAAAAATGAAAGACGGTGAGAGGACATCTGGACTCCTGTCTGAGGGGTCATAGGTCATACAGCTCTGCAGCTACAGATTCTTTGTCTTCCATGGCACCCAGTCCCTGGCGCTAGGGCATTCTGTGTGCCATTTGTTTGTGTTCTGCAAGTGATAGACGCATCAGGAATGTGGTTTCAAAGAGTAGGGAGCTAAGTGTCCTTTACCTAGGGTATGATAGTCAAAGGGTATGAAAGTGAGAGTCCACCTCCCTCAAAATGAGGAAGACTGTGGAGTCAGAGACAAAAAGAATCAGGTGGGTGCAGAAAAGGTCTCTACTTGCCTGAAACATGATGGACTCCTCTTCTTCTTCTTCCTCCTCCTCTTTCTTTCCCTTCCTCTTTCCCTTCCTCTTTCTTTTAAGACGCAGTTTCACTATCACTTTACTGGCCTGGAACTTGCTTATGTAGACCAGGATGACCTTAAATTCATAACAATATCCCTGCCTCTGCCTTCAGAGTGCTGACATTAAAGGTGTGTGCCACCATGCCTAGCAGGATATACATTTTTAATGACTGTTGACCTTATCAGGTCAATGTGCAGGCATCATTGTAATATGAAAAATTAGAAGCCACTAGTTTTTCCTTTAGATGAGTGTGTGTGTGTGTGTGTGTGTGTGTGTGTGTGTGTGTGTGTGTTGTTTTTCGAGACAGGGTTTCTCTGTGTAGCCTTTGTTGTTGTTCTGGACTCACTCTGTAGACCAGGATGGCCCAAACTCCCAGAGATCCACCTGCCTCTGCCTCCCCTAGTGCTGGGATCACAGGTGTGCACCACAGTACCCAGGTTTTCCTCCATATATTTATCTTCCCAATTTTCCACCTTTACAAATCTAGAATTGCTTTTTGTCTCATCACTTCTCTAAAGGTTTCTTTTTTGTTGCTGAAGATATTAGACAAGCCAGAGTTTGAAGCCATTGCCTTTATTCACCTTTCATTTAGGTTTCTCTGGTGTTGCACAGACCTTACACATAAGCACACTAGCTTGTATTTCTCTGAGTGACCTGAGTTCTGTTACAGGGCCCCATCAGTGAACTTGTAGTTGAGAATGTGGATGTGGCAGTCCAAACACTGCTCCACTAGGCATGACCTCCATTCTTCAAGGTCTCCTCATCCTCCAAAGTCACTACTCATTCTCCGTTGCCTCATTCATGTCCCAGACAGCAGAGAAGAGGAAGTGAGAGAGAAAGGATGCCCTTCTACTTGTAAAACATCTTGATGGCTATTGTGTATATCTGTAACAACAACCAGACTCTACCAAAGAGGGAAGAGAAGAAGGATAGATGGAAGGAAGACAGACTTCTAGAGGGAAGTCTGGGAAATACAATGATTGGTTTGGACATGTATCCAGATTTTAAATGTGCATTCTAGTTCTATAGAAGAAGAGAACAGACACTGAAGAGCAACTAGTGGTCCTTTTCACCCTAACTTCCAGGAGTTTCCTGCGCTCTGCTATGACCCAGGAAAAGCAGAATGATTCTTCTTGTGCCCCAGAGAGGTGCTGATGGCTGTGAGAACTTGTGGTTCTCGGGAAGTACTGCAAACTAGGATGTGGGAGGCAGGTTACTGAGACTACACGGATCTCTGCGATGGTGCCAACCTGAAGAGATGGCAAGTGCAGTCCAGATGCTCTCCTATGAGCCTCCCAAAAAGAACCCAGGAAAGGGGGATTCTGAACTCACCCTAGTGAAATGAGGATGTGACGGCCATTTTAAACCAAATATTCTGCTGTTCTCCTTATAGAGAAGTGGCAAGCTTTGTATTTTTGTGTCCTTTAAAAAAAAATTATTGGGAGGGTTTGGGAGAGGAGGAGGGAGGAAGGATACAAAGTGGATAAAGTAATTAATAAAAATTTTAAAAAGAAAAAATTATTTATTTTTTATTAATTCCAGTTTATTCACTTTGTATCCCAGCTGTAGTCCCCTCTCTTGTCCCCTCCCAATCCCATCCTCGCTCTCTCATCTCCTCCCACACCCCTCTCCAAGTCCACTAATAGGGAAGGTCCTCTTCCCCTTCCCTCTGACCCTAGCCTATCAGGTCTCATCAGGAGTAGCTGCATTGTCTTCCTCTGTGGCCTGGTAAGGCTGCTCCCCCAGGGGAAGGTGATCAAAGAGCCAGCCACTGAGTTCATGTCAGAGACAGTCCCTGTTCCCCTTACTATGTAACCCACTTAGAGACTGAGGTGCCATGGGCTACATCTGTGCAGGGGTTCTAGGTTGTCTCCATGCATGGTCCTTGGTTGGAGAATCAGTCTCACAAAAGACCCCTATGCCCAGATATTTTGGTTCTGTTGTTCTCCTTGGAGCTCCTGTCTCCTCCAGGTCTTTCTATCCCCAACTTCTTTCATAAGATTCTCCGTACTCCAAAGTTTGGCTTTGAGTCTCAGCATCTGCTTTGATTTTGTGTCCTTTTGAAGTTACATGTGTCTATATGACATATTTTGGCCAATAACATTTATGCAAAAATGATATGTATCCTGTCTAGGCTAAACGTAAGAGCCTATAATGGTCAGTTTTATGTCTTATTTTGACTAGGCTATAGTATCCAGTTTCTGATCAAACAACAATGTAGATGCTTCTGCAAATTCACTTTAGATGTGCATGATATTAGATCAGGAGACGCTGAATAAAACATTACCCTCTAAAATGTGGGTAGGCTTCATCTGCTCCATTGAAGATCATAAGGGATAAGTATTGTGATCCCCTAAGAAAGAAATGCTGCCTCGGGCTGCCTCCAGACTCAAGCTGTACTGTCAGTTCTTCTCTGGTCTCCAGCCTCCTGCCTGCCTACGCGGTAGATTTCATATCTGTCAACCCCCACGAGTGCGTGGGCCAAAGAAATTTTTGGTTCTGACTTTCTCTGTATTTCTCTTTTTTCCAAACACATACATACACACACACACACACACACACACACACACACACACACACACACACCTACTGCCTCTGGAGAACCCTAAAACAGGGCCTACATGCAAATGTTCACATTTTCGTTTCCCTGCCACACTAACCTAAGCAAGTGCGGAGATGAATCTCTTCAAGCTGGATCCCTGAGAGACCATGACAAGCAGAATCCAAGCAGGAGAGTGGAGTGGAGAGTGGGGTGCATGGTTGTGCAGTAGCATCTGAAAGAAGCCAGAGAGGAGGACTGGAAGGCTGCCACCCTGCCTGGTGTCATGTCCATAGGTAACAGCTGTACAGAGCATGATGGGCAATATAAACCCCTAAAGAGGTCCCAGGCCTTCACATGCCAGTTGCCTACACGCTGCCAACTTTTCCTCCAAGCTCTCTCACCTGCTTCTCTTGGAGCACGCCCTCTTCCTCGCTTTGTTTGTTTTATTTTGTTCATGAGACAGGGTCTCACTAGAAGGCCCCAATGGCCTGGAACTTGCTATATAGACCAGGCTGACCTCAAACTGACAGAAATCTGTGTACCTCTCCCTCAAGGGTCCTGTGCCACCATGCCTGGCCATTTATCCTTATTGTTCTTTGTTAATATGCTCCCTCTCCCGAGTGACTCCTTCGTCCAGGGTCTGGATATCCCTTCAGTTAACCTCACATCCAGTGAGAACACAGCCCCTTGGCTGCTAAGCCACTGAGTTGGAGGAAGGCCATTATTCTCGCCCCACACCTGATCCAGCTGGGCCCGGAGACACAAATGAGAAATCAAGATCCATACAGAAACAACGTTCCCTATCTTCTCTTCTGGAGTTTGCAAGCTGAGAGGCATTCCTTTTATGGTGCTCACTCTTCCTTTTTTCTGCAGGCTGGTGTTATGGCAGGGTTTTAAGTCTTCTGAGACCTGAGAAGGAGCTCTCCAACACTGCTCTCTTTCAACAATCCCTGGAATCAATGCTCTAGTCCCTTTCTCGTACCTGCTCCAGTTGTCCAAGCTCTAAAATTACCTCTTCCTGGCAGATGTGCTGGTGCCCACCTTGAATCCCAGCCTTGCTAGGTGTGCCAGTGTTCACCTGGAATCCCAGCCCTACCACACCTGGTACACCTGCACTTGGGAATAAGAAGCAGACAAGTTCAAAGCTAACCAGCCCTCCATAACAGGTTTAGGCCAGCCAGAGCTATACAGTGAGGCCCTGTTTCAAAAAAAAAAAAAAACAGTAAATAAACTAAAATTATCTCTTCCTCTCAACTTAGGAAAATATTTCTCAGAGTGAGAAATCACAACTTTGTAATAAGAAATAATAAGCAAATTCTCTTAACTCTCAATGGAAGTTTCATTCTCCTCCCCCCCCCCCAGGCGATTTGCATTTGAAAAAGAAGATTAAAAAAAAAACTGATCCAAGTGAAAGTGCAGGTGGGGAAGATCCAGGAGGGAAAGGAAGGCACTCGCCTGCAGTGTGAACACTCTGAAGCAAGGGAATTTCCACAGGTGCTTGCAGCTACAACCACCGGCTCAAGATGGCACTGGGGTTGTGGGAGCTTCTCAGAGGGAAGTCTCAGGTTCCCTCCCAGGGGCTCCACTTACTCCTCTGGCTCCTCTGGCTCCTCGTGTTGCTCAGACTCTAGCTTCCAACGCTAACAAGATTTCCTTCCTGTCCCTCGGGTCTGGATTCTGGTCATTTTGCTTCCCAAAGGGTAGCTTCCCTGGGGTATGTGAACTTTGTATCAGAGCGAAGGTACTTGAAGCCGAACCCCAAAATATCACCTCTTGGTATCACATCTCCCCTTCCACTCTCCCCAGGAAGCTTACCTCTCATTTCACAGGTCATGTTTATCCATAAGAAATCATTTGAGGATCTTGGTTCAAAGCGCAAGTGGAACAAGATTCGTGGTCCAGATGTTCTCTCTGGGATGCAGTCCAGAAAGCTCTCTGTTTACAGCCTCTCCTCCAGGTGGCTCGGTGCGGGTGGGAAGGAGACTATATTTGCAGGAATAGTGCCCTAGAGAGACATAGCGTGGGGGCTGTTAGCTCAGCCTCCCTCCCCTCTTGCCTCCCCAGCTCTTTTTCCTAGTCAGCTCTGATGTCTTTTGTTACTGATGTAGCCAAGCCATCTGCTCACAACCTTAAAACAAAGCAAACAAAAGCAACAAATACAAGAGGGAACCTTGTTTCTAGGAATTTCAGTGCTATTTGTGCTTTTCTTTTTGTGTGCAAAGGGATCTGCCCTTCTTCGTGAGGTCGAAGACTTTGGATGGCAACGTTGAGAATGAGTTGTGAATCTTTCTCATGTTCAGTTTTTGCAGGCTTTGCACCGGACGGGTGGTGGAGCCTGAAAGTAAACACAGAAGAGAGAGCATCAGGAACCTGCTCAAAGAGGCAAGCTTAAGCTCCAATAACCAAGAATAAGCACGTTTGCTTATGACCTGCCTTTAGAAATCCAGTTTAGAACCATAGCCGCGGGCAGCAGCCCAAATCAGACAAGACACATTCCACTCTGCCAAAGGAAGGGTTAATTCCTAGGGCCTGCAAAAGAGGCTACACAACCTCGGCTCCCTCTCTACACACACCTGGAAGAAATTACCTCAACCTGGCTCCTGCACAGCCCAAGTCTTTGGCCAAAACCCATGCACCCCCTGGTGGTCTGGAGGTAAAGTACAATTTACAACAGGAGAACCGGGAAGCTTTTCTGTTTTTGTTTTCCATGCCTCTTCTATTCGCCATTCACAGAACTTTTCTCTGGGATAGCTTTGCAGGCACCACCTCCTCAGACTGTACTGAGAAAATTTGGGAAGTAAAGTGCCATAGCTCTTGTAGGCAATTGATGGCCACCTTCTCTGGAGACAAGCCTCCTGCCAGGTTATCCAATCCCAAGTGGTCAGCCCTAAATATTTACACATACATAAATGGACCCCAGGAGGTTGTAGTTACACGAGCTTGTATGTGTGTGTGTGTGTGTGTATCAATAATAAAGAAGAAGATGTTGTGGATTTGCGAGGAAGTGAGGTGGAGCACAGGAGAAGTTAGTTGGGTAGAAATGGTGTTAATATAAAAATATCAACATATCTGCTTCCTTTGAGACAAATGGCCTGCTCTGTGTTTGCTAATACCCTGGTAGTTAGGAAGATTTTTAAAAATGAAAAGGGAGACAGTTTTCAAGTGCTATGAGAAAAAAAAAAAAACTCCAAGCTACTCATAATTGACTCAAAATGTTTACTATACTCTTCGGATTTGTATTTATTAATTTATGTGTATGTACATGCACACACATGCTACAGTGCTGGGGGAGTGGCCAGAGGAAAAGCAGTTAGGTTTGGTTCTCTCCTTCCACCGAGAAAGCTGTGGAGACTCATGCCACCAGGCTTGGTGGCAGGTGCGTTTACCCAGCTGCCCCCTGCATTTCTGTGATATTTCCTTAGAGACTGTGAGGGCTCTCTCCATTCTGTTGTCATCTCCTTTCCTCTAAAGCCTATCTTTTTGTTTGTAGTCTCTTAAACCAGTGGTTCTCAACCTGTGGGTTTCGACCCTGTTGGGCATCGAGTGACCTTTTCACAGGGATAATCTAAAACCACTGAAAAACATAGATATTTACATTACGATTTGTAATAGTAGCAGTTATGAAGTAGCAACAAAAGTAATTTTATGGTTGGGGGGGTCACCATAACATGAGGTACTATATTAAAGTGTCATAGCATTAGGAAGGTTGAGAACTGTGGATTAATTAAACATTTAACTTTCCCCTTTTCCACTTGCCTCTTTCCTTCAGCTACCTCAATCTCCAATTTATCTGACCAATTATCTTTTCTAGCTCCAATAAACTGTCCCCAACTACCCTTCTGTATCCATTTTTGAGGTTGGATTTTTGAGACCAGGGTCTCTCTGTATAAGTCCTGAGTGTCTTAGAGCTCTCTGTGTAGTCCAGGCTGATCTCAACATCCTCCTGCCTCAGCCTCCTTAGTGCTGGAATTAAAGGTGCCACTCCTGGCTTGTATCCATCTCTCAACTCTTTTATCAACAAGACCAAGAGCCTTCAACAGGGACCCTGTGCCCCATAGATATAAAAGGAGATAGGAGGAGGAGGAAACATTAAAGATAAAGCATGCACGCACACACATACACACACCAAAAAAAAAAAAAAAAAGAAAGAAAGAAAGAAATCACCATAAGACAAGTCCAAGACTCATCAGATATTTTCCTAACACTTTTTGTGAGAGACAAGATTTCATATAGCACATGCTTGCATATACCCAAAGATAATCTTGACTGTCTGATTTTCTTGCCTCTAACTCCTGAATCCTAAGGTTATAGGCATAGGCTGTCACCGCCAGCATTATTCAATGCTTGTGATCAGAATCAGGGCCTCATGCATGCACTCTACCAACTAACCTGTATCCTCAGCCTGTAAGGATTTTTTCAATTCATTGTTACAACTATCTACACTACATTCATTTACTTAGTGTATATACACACATATACACACACAGATACAAACACACAGAGACACAGACACACACACAGACATATACCCACAGAAACACACACAACACACACACTTACACAGTACCACACACACAGATAAACACACACAGACACACACAGACACATGCACCACAAACCGCACACCATGGCTCACACTGGGGTTCAGAGAACAACTTCCAAGAGTCTGTTCTCCCTTCCACCATGTGGTCCTGGGGAGCTGAACTCAAGCTGTCAGAAGCAGCAGCAGGTTTGTCGTTGACCCACTGAGCCATCTTGCTGACCCCTGTCAAGCATTTTCAATACATAATATGCTCCATGGTTTGGCTATGGTTCCATTGTGTTCGCTCTATGGTTGGTCCTCAGTGTCATGTCGTGAAAGCTTAGTCTCAGCATGGTGGTGTTGAGAGATGGTAGAACCTGTAAGTGGTGGAGTCTATTGGAAAGAAATTGGGTCGTTTGTGGGATCAGCTTTGAAAAAGGATTAATCTGTTCTCTTGGTATCTTGGGTAGCTCTCACAAAATGAGTTACTTATTAGCAGAGCAGTACTGGCCCCTGATCATCACCACATTCACTATGCCCCTCTGGATCTCTGACATGCTCTGTGATTTCTTCTGCATACCTTAGTGCAGTGTGATGATGTGGTGACAGCTACCATGAGGCCCTCACCAGGACCAAATCAGTGTCAGCAATATGTTCTTAAAGCTCCAGAACTACGAAAATAAATATGCCCTTTGCTCTTTATAAAGTACCTAGCCTCTAGTATTTTGATGCAGCAACAGAAAATGGACACCTATTTACAGAATGTTTGCTTATTGCTTGATGTTTATTTGAAAATGCTTTCAGAAAACTCAGAACTCACTCATTTTATGCCTTGATCTCTGGGAAAAAATAAATAGCTGAGGATTTTGTTATAAAAACAAATGTTACCTGGAATGTGCCTTAGTTGGTAAAGTGCTTGCCTAGCATGTAGAAGGTTCTGGATTTTATGTCCAGTGTTGAAAAAAAATCTGGGTCTGGAGGGAAAGTTTTGTGGTAGGAAAAAACATTTGGTGAGTAGAAAGAATTAGAAAACAATGACCTGACTGTAGCTGGCTAAACTCAAAGCCTTCCTGAAGGAGATGGAAACGACAGGAATGATGGAGTTCCAGAGAAAACCCAACTGTTCCAGGAAAAGTCAGAAGAAAGTCGCTCAAGACCTGAAAATCAAACACAGGATGCGGAAAATGTGAGATACTGAAGCAAGCCTGGGATTTAAGGATGAGCAGATGGTGGAGGCGCAGCACTAGCTCAGTGTACTGAGTGTGATTCCAGCTGGAATAAGCATGAGGACTGAGGGAAGGAGGCAGTTTTCCAGGACCCAGAGCAATTTCTGATGGATGCTAGTGGTGAAAGTCTAGCTGGTTTTCCTGGATGTCTCTGCTGCATCACAGCCCTGCAAAGGCCTGAGCAATTCTACAGCAAGAGGAGCACAGGATTGAAAATGTCCTCTAGGCAGGTGCGGTGTGCTTGTCTGTAATCCCAGAACTTCTGAGCAAGGGCAGGAGGATCAAGGACATTCTCTGCTACATAGAAAGTTTGAGGCTGGCTCAGGCTATGCAGGGCAGTGTCTCAGAGATGGGGGTGGGGGGAGTGACTGGCACACTATATATTCAAATGCTGATTTCTGTACACAGAGATCTGGTTACAGTCCTTGGAATTGCCATGACCTTGAAACATCTCCTGTCTCAATGTTGTGTCAAAATTGTTCTCCATCTTCTGATTGGTTAATAAAGAACTAAGCAGCCTACAGCTGGGCAGGAGAGTTAAGGCAGCACTTTCTGATCCTGGTGAGGGGATTCCAGGTGGAGAGCAGAGAGAGGAGCCACCAAGAGAACATAGCCGTGAGAACATAGATGAACAAAGAGCCGCCAGAGTGAGACTAAGATGGCAGGTAAAGGCCATGAGGCTGGGAAGTAGGACAGGCCAGGACAGGTATAGTCTGGACTGTACCTGCCCAGCTGTAGTCCTTGAAGCTTATTAATAAATATAATAGGTTTCTGTGTCATTATTTGGGAGCTAGAGTAAACATAGAAAGTCCATTATTAGTAACAAAGCAAGAAAGAGAAAAGAGAAACTATCCCAAAGACAGTATAAGAGGCTATATCAGATGACAGAGCACTAAGTGGTCAGGAACACACAGAGAAAGTGAGCTTCAGCAGTTCAAAGGCTGGAAAGATGGCTCAGTGGTTTAAAGTGCTTGCTGTGTAATCATAAGGGCCATAGTTCATACTCCATCACTCACATAGACCCCAGATGTGGTTCCACAAACACCTGTAACCTCTGGACTGAGGCAGGTGAGGACAAGAGGATCCTTGGAGTTTGCTGGCTGCCAGCCCAGCCAAAAAGCAAGAGTCTGTAGGTTCAGTGGGAGGCCCTGCCTGGAAGGAATGAGACAGAGAAACAAGAGGACACCTCTATCATTCTGGCCCCGTGCATGCACAGGTGCAGCTACGCACACATTTGTGTGTACATATAGCACACACACACAAGTGAAGAGAAAAAATTGAGTCCGAAGTGGGTAAGAGCACCTCCTGTGCAAGCATAAGAAAGTGAGTTTGAATCCCCAGCACCGATATGTTCTTAAAAAAAAAAAAGCAGAGTCTACAAATCCATTGCTAGAGTCAGAAAAAGGCAGATCTGGAGACCTTGCTGGCTCACCAGTTCAGCCATTTCAGCAAGGGGAATAAGGCAGAGGATGACAGGGTAGGAAACCTGTATCCTCCTGTGGCTTCTGCGGGTACACGCCATGCATCATACACGCCATGCATCATACACGCCAGGCATCATACATGCCAGGCATCATACACGCCAGG